TCATCCTTATAAACTTACATACTCATCCTGCACCAGGCACTAAGATCAGTGATGAGTTTAGCTTAGAGTTCTGAATATGCAGATGCACTCAGCATAAACCTTCTTATCCTGGTCATTCCATGAAAAGGGTGACATATGGTTTTCTGTGTTAGTAATTTATAGGCTCTGGCCCTTGCCCTGCTATTCCTACTAGTTTATTGTTGGCAGGGAATACGCAGAGTCCCCTTTTCTCCAGGGGATAGTCTCCCATTTCTCCACCATATGAAGCCAAGATCCTTACAAAGCCCCAGCTGATCATTTCACTGGCCGGAGGAATCCAAATAAAAACTGGTCACTTAAGTCAACTTTTATTTAGGTATCAATATCATAAGACATTACCATGCTACAAATTAAAGAACACCAATACTAATATAAATAGAACACTGAATACATATCTTTTAGAAATTACTAAGCACTTGAGAATTTAAAAACAGATACAGGAAGCTTGACAGGCTTTATAAAAGGATGATAACAAGAAAAATATCATTTCAATTCAATATAGCAACCGAAGCCTTCTTTTTCTGCTAATATTCAGAAAAAGTAAGATTTTTACTTGCTAAAACTTTTTAGTCATCAATAAAAACAAATATTTGCCTCCTGTCACCGATAAAATACAAGAACTATAATTGATGGAATGAAAATGTTTTTATTGGTAGTTCATTCCTCAATTATTTGAATTTTTCCATAAATTCTCAAAGTGCAATTAGGAATGAGTCATTTATAAGAGCAAGGCAAGATAACAAATGAGAATTCTGAAGTTACAGTTTCACTTCCAGGCTCGTGTAGAATATCCATCTCTTTTCAACTGTCCAATAAAAAAAAAATCAAGGAAAGAATTAGAACTACAGACTACAAATAAAGTGCTAAGAGTCATCTCACATTTGCCTTATTCTAGGAACAGTGCTCCCTGCCTCCTAAATGAAATCAGAATTCTTCTTGCCCATCTGTACATCAAAACAGCTATCTACTTTATTTTAAAATAAAATATTTTTCACCAACACTTGTCTTAATTGCTTTTTAACTGCCAAAATCAATGCCATAGTTAGGCTTTGAGAAACAAATTGGGTGTAATAATTATTAATACCTGAAAGCTGTGGTTTTTAGAATTACAATTTTTTTGTTTTGTTTTTTTGGTTGCTGTTCTCTTGTTGCTCAGGCTGCAGTGCAGTGGTGCGATCTTGGTTCACTGCAAACTCCGCCTCTCAGATTCAAGTGATTCTCCTGCCTCAGCCTTCCAAGTAGCTGAGATTACAGGCGCCTGCCACCATGCCCAGCTAACTTTTTGTAATTTTCATAGAGATGGGGTTTTACCATGTTGCCCAGGCTGGTCTCGAACTCCTGACCTCAGGTGATCCACCCACCTTGGCTTCCCAAAGTGCTGGGATTACAGGCGTGAGCCACTGCGTCTGGCCTAACATTACAATTTTAACTATCATATCCGTTTTTGCTTGGAAAAAAAAAAAGTTTATCATTTTCCTGTTCTTCACTCAAAAGAATCCTGAAAAATTAAAAAACAAATAGCCATTGCCAGTGTCCTTACAGTGAGGACACTGTGCTTACTGGATATTACAGAGGCCATGAATTCTCATGGCACCTGCTAGTCACCCAGTCTTCTATTGAAAAAGCCAGATTTCTTTAGGTCAAAAAAAAACAACCTATATTCTGGAGATGAAGGAATAGATCAGAAATCGATGTCTTGAGCCAAGAGTGACCCAATAGGAACAGTCCAAATGTGATGGTGATTAACTAATCTAAATGATCCTCCATCCTTGTTGAGGTGATTTTGCTATCTGGCAGCATATTTGCTCTATGGGTTATGGTGTTAAATGTTACGTAAGAAAGAGAAGCTGATGGAAGTCTTCTCTGCCAAAATATAAGAGGAACAGTGGCCTTGGAGTAACTGCTGAGACTGGTAACTTTTTTGCAACAGGACCAGATGTGGTCTTCTTACTGGATCAGATTAATATAACCAGGAAAACCTGGCATATAGCTAACCCTTTGGCTAATGCATATCTCTGTTTCTCTCTACCCAGACCATTAGATCGAATATCTTTTCAGCTTGCAGGGAAAATTTTTAAATGTCATGGTCTGACTTCAGGGATCCCTTGACTCTAGCTCCATGCCATAATCTAAGCTGCAGGCATCCTGGACCATCTCACCTTCCCAAGGTCACATACTAGTCTCCTATGTTGATGCACATAATGCTAATCAGTTCTGGAGACCAGAAAATGGAAAGGATCCTATGTCTTGGTAAGAAATGTGCTTGACAGGACAGAAGATAAGTTAGCCTAGAATACAGTGCTGATTGCATCAAAGTCCGTAGATGTTCTCAGGTCTAGAGCAGAGGTTGGCCAACTATGGCCTGAAGGCCAAATCTGGCCCCCTAGCTGGTTTTGTAAACAAAGTCACCTCCTGGGTTTAAGCGATTCTCCTACCTCAGCCTCTTGAGTAGCTGAGATTACATACATGCACTGCCATGCCTAGCTAATTTTTTGTATTTTTAGTAGAGACAGAGTTTTACCATGTTGGCCAGGCTGGTCTAGAATTCCTGACCTCAGGTGATCTACCCACCTCGGACTCCCAAAGTACAGGGATTACAGGCACAAGCCACTGCACCTGGCCTGTAAATAAAGTCTTATTGAAACACAGCCATGACCATTTGCTTATGTATTATTTATGGCGGCTTTCCTGCTACTGGGTAAGAGAATGGATGGCCTGCAAAGCTGAAAATATTTGCTCTGCCCTTTATCTACAGCATGTTGGTACAATCCCTTGGAAATGAAGGACAGCTTGCTGCTCCCAAGCACTCCTACATATTAGAGATGGCATATGGTTATTACACTTCTGGGTAAATAGAAAAGCTATCAGTTACAAGTAAAATTTAGAGTAGGAGAAATCTGTCTCCGTTTTTTTGAGACAGAGTCTCACTGTGTTGCCCAGGCCAGAGTGCAGTAGTGTGATCTTGGCTCACTGAAACCTCTACCTCCTGGGTTCAAGCAATTCTCTGCCTCTGTCTCCCAAGTAGCTGGGATTACAGGTGCCCACCACCACGCCTGGCTAATTTTTTTGTATTTTTAGTAGAGACAGGGTTTCACCATCTTAGCCAGGCTGGTCTTGAACTCCAAGACCTTGTGATCCAACTGCGCCTGGCCGAGGAGAAATATTTCTTGGCAGACCAGGCTATTGTAGTATGGCTCAGCTACCTGTGACCCTGGGGCATTAGGATATTGCATGTAGCTTGAGGCATTTCTTGATATAATCGGAGCATGCCCCAAATTCTGGAGCAAGGCCAACCTCCTTTATACAGGTATCATTCTTTCAGTAGACAATTCCCAGCTGGCCACGAGGTTCTGATGGTAAATGTCTAACACTAAGGAAACCAGGTGACCATGTCATTAATCCATCTTTTACAATTTTACCTGACCTGCCAAGCCACAAATACAGCATGCCTTCAACCAAAAATGTAGCATGTAAATGCAAGACTGGGCTTAAAGAGGTTCCAAAGGCATAAAATACCCAAATAGGTTAATGACAACACTTATCCAGTAGCCCTTCACCTAATTCACTATTTTTCTCCCTCAACCAGGACTATGCTTTCATGGAAGTGTTCACTATACATCAGCTAACAAATTTGAGAGAACTGGGTTTGGTTCACTTTTGATAGTAATAGCCAATAATGAGTGGTAAAAGCATTGTAGCACCCCCTCGGGAATTGTTTTGAAGGACAATATGAAGGAAAGTGTTCTGACTTGATAGAATTCCAAGCAGTTCATTTTACTGTCCATCATACCTTTTAGGAGAGAAAGCCTAAGGTCAGTTTTTATCAAGTCTTGAGCAGTCACTAGTGGTTTATCTAGATGGATGTAGGTTTGAAATAATGCTCTGGGTCTCATCAGGTATCTAGCCAACCAAAAATGGGTTTGCAAAATGATGAAATAAATCATCATGTGTGGGACTCCATGTTTGGATCCCCCTCCACGAACACTCCTGTGCTCATGGAAGCCGTTTTTCTCTAACCTGGATTTTCTCTCTGGAGTCCCCTTCCATGAACACTCCCTTCGTGGAAGCCTGTCTTCTCCTCCCAAACTCCATCTCTCTCTATTCCCTTCCACTCAATGTGGAAGCTGCTTTCCTCTCCTGGATTCTACCTTTCTGTATTCTCTCACTTAATTAAAAAAAATCATTATGTGTTTGGATTCAGCACCACTTATGGATACCACCTTGCAAGTTTGGGGTGTTATCCTTTAGAATTGTGGTGTTTGCTTTTCCCCCGTAATACATGTAGTACCAGGAAAATATGGTATCCTTTCTCCCACAGCAAAAACACAGAGGTCTAAGAAACAAGGAGTAGAAATATCTCAAAAGGATGTAAGTAATGATGTATTGAAAAAAATTTGTATTCTTATTACCTATGACTCAAGCTCTCCTGACCCAATTGGCATGATATAATGAAAAGTTCACTAAACTTGGTGATCATTTCTAGATGGTTCAAATAAAGGTCATTTAATCTTTTTTCTTTTTGGTTTTCTAGGTTTTCCAAATATTCTAGAATATGTATTATTTCATATTAAAATTACAAAGGAGAAAAAACAAATATAGCCCCAGAAGCAAATTTTCATTGAAAATGGTAAATAAGGAAAGGAAGACGTTGTAATGAATGCAAGGAGCTGACATTGTAATGAATGCAAGGAGCTGCTGACAAAAAGAAGTCAGGAGAACTAGCTTCCCTTTTTGACAGTGGTTACCATGCAGCATTCCAGAACAATTAAGGAAAAACATCTGGACTGTGACTAAGCCTGATTTCCTTATCTGTAAAATGATCTATATATCTCATAAGGTAAGTGAAAGAACATCATAAACTAACATCTTTAAAGGTATGAGTTATTACTACTTATGGTTAGTGTCTTATGGTTCAGTGATTTCAAAAACAACAACAAAAAACAATAATAAAAATTAGTTACCTTTGGGTTAAAATATCTACAAGACTGTGGTTGAGAGCCTCCAAATAGTGCTATGCGGTAGTCATGTTTCTTTCTTCTAGGTCTTGTGCCATCTACAAGTTCTTCTCGGTCCTCTGGAGACAGTAGATGGTACCTCATTCCACCTGTAGTAAAATACATGGCAACTCTTCAAGAACTTCCGGCACTAACCAGTGCTTTGAAAAGGAAATACCCAGACATAACAGTGCCTTTCAGTAACCTTCTTTTATCATCTTTCTATTGCATTTGAGGAAAGTGAGGGGGAAGAGGAAGAAGAAATAAGAACTTGAGTACTAACCAATTCATTATTCTTAGCAATCACCATTATTCTAAGACTGCCCACCCAGTAAGCAACTTACTATGTAACAGTGAATTATCTGGCTCCTCAAGCAACAGGTGCCAAAATAATAATTATTGAAATCCAGATCTCCTAACCCAGTGGTTCTCAATCTTAACTGTACATTAGAATCACCTAGAAAATCTCTGAAACTATTTATACCTGGGACCTACCACAGACCAATTAAATAAAAACCTTTAGGTAGAGTCTAGAATTGGTATTTTAAAGGGCTTCTTAAATCTTGCCACTTAAAATGTGGTTCAAAGACCAGCAGCTTCAATATTTGGGAGTTTGTAAAAAATGCTGAATCCCAGGCCCTATCCCAGACCTACTGAATCAGCATCTGCATATTTAACACCCCACAGTGATCAGGATGTACATAAAACTTTGAGAAGCACTGTCTTACATGATTAAAAATACAGTAAGGTCAGAACTATTGTGATCTATCACGATCCTTTTCCTTCAGCAATTCCTTAATTTTGTCAGTGCCACTTAACAATCAAAAACTGTTAAAGTATCACTTCAAGTCAGTGTGGGAAAGGTGGATTATCTATGTTAGACAACAATATGAAGAAAGAAATTATACCCCTACCTCATATTTCGCTCTCAATTCCATATCAGTAAAAATCTGAATATATTTTAAAAATCTTATAAATGTACTGAAGCTTAAAAAAAAAGAAAAAAAAAAAGCCCTTCTTCTTAGAAGCCTAAGAATGACCAAAAACATGAGCCAGAAAAAAATGAAAAATGTTAAGACTTAACTGTATAAAATTTTAAGTGAAAATAGTGTACAGCAGAAATAAAAGGCAGAATTAAAAGATGACAAACTAGAAAATTATTTATAAATAATAAAAAATACTATTAAAAAACACTTTATTAATTTACAAGAATTACCAGCAACTTAACAAAAAATTAGGTGAAGTATCTCAATATAGTTTACAGAAAAAGAAGTATAAATAACTCCTAAACATATGAAAAAATGCTTGAGTGTTCCAGTTAAAAAAATACAAATTAAAACCATACTTTTTTCACTTATCAGATTGGCCAATATCAAACTGCCTGGATCACAGGGTATAACATGGTTGTATCATGGGGGGCAGCACTTTCTTCCATTGATGGTAGGGATGTGGATGGGTAGAACCATGGGAAAGGTGATATAGCCCAATCTACAAAAATTATAAATGTACATACCCTTAAACCCAGGAATTCCCTTTCTAGGAGTTTATCAACCTAAGTTCACTGTTAGGGAAGTGGTTAAAAATTATGCCATGTCTATATAACAGAACATTATATGTGGCTGTTAAGATGAGAAAGGTTAGTATGTATGCATGGAATGATTTCCAAGAAATAATTTGGAATAAAAAAATGCAAGAGGTAGAACAGTATGCAGAGTGCAACACTGTTTGTGTTAAAAATGTATATTTTAATGCAACAATACACATTTTATGCATGTAATGTATACACGGATATATAAGTAAATGACTATATGTACAATCTCAAGACTACCTCTGGAAGGGCATATACAAGATAATAATGTTAATCTCCAGGTTAAGAGAACAAGAGTAAGGAAAAGATGTATAGGGAGACTTATTTTTTACGATGTATCCTTTTAATACCTTTTGAATTGTAAGATATTATCAATCTAAAAATAAAATCAGGCCATTTTTTTTTTTCTAAAGCCAGGGTCTTGCTCTGTCACTTGGGCTAGAGTGCAGTAGCGCCATCACAGCTCAGAATAACCTTCAACTCTTAGGCTCAGCAATACTCTCACATCAGTCTCCCAAAGCACTGGGGCTGCAGGCCTCGGCCAGCATGGCTGGCCCAAAAATACCTGATACACGCAAAACATTTCTATAAATGAGGCTATGTTGGGTCTTTATAAAAAGGATAGAGGAAGGAAACTCATTCAGACAATAGTTGGTGAATTAATGAACATCTTCATCAATATTTATCATTTCTCCCATTGCAGTTTGAGTAGAAGCTCTTTTGCATTCAACAGCTGGATATTTCAGAGGCCAAGGCATGCTGATGCATGCTCTAGGTCAAAGGTCTGAAAATTTTTTCTGTAGAGGGACAGACTTCGCAGACCACATATGGTTTCTGTAGAATGTTCTTTGTTTATTTTACAGTCCTTTACAACTGAAAACCATATTAGCTCAAGTCTGCATGTAGCCTGTGGATAGTTCTTGAAGTGTGGTTTCATAACCAGAAGCATCAGTATCACCTAAAACTGTGTTGAAAATCCTAATTAATGAACACTAGCCCAGACCTTCTGAATCAGTAACTCTAGGGAGGGGTTTTAGAGCCACTGCTCTGGAGGGTTCCACACAGTTTGAAGGTGGACTGTGTAGTCTATGAACGCAATACTCCCAGTAAGAGAAAGGTAGGAGGGAGGGAAAGAGACAAGAGAAAACTATTCTCTCTCCTTCCCTCCAGCCAACAGGCCATGGGATAAAAGTGGCTGACTGTGGTCAACTGTGCTGACACAGTGGAGGAAGCACGCCTTCGTCTCCTACACTGACGGGCCTTTTTTCCTCCCCAGAATCGTATTGGGGGACACTTTGGTGCCTTTCTCTGAGGAGCTTGTTGTTGCTTAGGCTTATTCCTCTGGGAGTTATTCTTTCCAGATTTAGGTATAATGATTTGTAAATTTTTAGTAAGAAGTTGGCCTGGGCAGGGCATGGTGGCTCATGTCTGTAATCCTAGCACTTTGGGAGGCTGAGGCTGGTGGATCATGAGGTCAGGAGTTTGAAACCAGACTGGCCAACACAGTGAAACCCCATCTCTAGTAAAAATACAAAAAATTAGCTGGGTGTGGTGGCAGGCACCTGTAAGCCCAGCTACTCGGGAGGCTGAGGCAGGACAATCGCTTGAACCCAGGAGGCGGAGGTTGCAGAGAGCCAAGATAGTGCCACTGCACTCTAGTCTAGGTGACAGTGCAAAACTCCATCTCAAAAAAACAACAATAAAACACCAAGTTGGCCTGGCCCTTTCTGGAGGCTTTGTGCACTTCAAAGTTTTATTCTATTTTTCAATTGTCTTCTCTGTTTTTCTTCTACTCTGGAAAGGCAACAAAGTCAGGTGGTAGGAAGACAAATGATGGTCTGAAAAAGAGAGGCTGGAAGCCTTTCCCCAATTTAGCTGTGCCCAGGCCCCAAAGCTTGGAAGTATCTTATCTGCTTGTGCTTAGTCAAGAAGTAATAGAACAACCCACTATTCTTTACTTTAAGAAAGGAAAATAAAAAAAATGTAATAAGACTAGTACAACAAGGCATCCTGCTCCAGTGTCTAATCCTCACACTTGGCAGAATTTCTGAAACAATGCTGCTATCCTGTTTCTAAATCAGTTCAGAATCCATGTAAGAACTAAACACTAGATTCTGAGACTGGCTGGTTGTTTTCAACAGCCCAGACCATGTATGAAGAAATAGGAGCAGTTCTCTACCCAATGAAACTCTAAGGCCAGAAAAATAACACACAGTTTGAGAATTGGGCATAACAAAAAAACCTGATATTAGCATGTACAAAATCTGAGAAATGAAAGTCCTAACGTAAAGGTATCTTCTTGGTCCTGATTTTCTTTCCTCTCTGCATTTAAAGAGACAAGTGGCCACCTATGTTCTACCTTCTAAATACTCTCTTACATCATGGTTTTTCAAGACACCAGTCTTTGGTTCAAGTAGCTTTGTGGTCACCCCCCTTTTTTAAAAAAAATCTTCTTGCACTCCTTAAATATAGGTATTCGTAAGGATGTGTCCTTGACACACACCTCTTCTCCTTTTCCCTTGACAACCTCAACTAGGTTCAAACATAGTCTTTTGCAGTTTTGTTTTCATTTAATTAAAAAATACAATTTTATTCCTTTGCCACTTATGAACAATTTCCACATTACTAGATATTCATGTAAAATATTTTTAGTAACTATATAACACTACATTGCATGGATATATTTTTTTCCAATCTAGGGATAACATTGAGTTTACTTACCTAAAACTGCATAATACTAGTAAGCAGTAGCTATGTGATAAGTCTAGTGAAAATACTGGAAACCTAGAAATTGCTTTTTTTTTTGGCTGTATAAGGCAGAGAAGATAGTCTTGGATCTGCTCAAGATAAATTCAGTTGGAACTGGGATAAAGCTGGATCACTTGGTTATACTTTGAGTGAAAAGATAGGCTAAGAAAAATATCTGCCTGATGGCAGAAGCAGCAGCAATAATTAGTCTGTTTCAACTTCAGCTTCAGGTAGAGGTAGTCTCCCTCTTTTGATAATTTATATTTACAGCCCTACCCTTATGCAGGTTTGAAGTGTGAATTTACCCTATCTGCAAGTCTAGGAAACCATAAGCCTAAGAAAACTCAAAGTAGTCCTGGATTGTTGTTCCCTATGGAATGTGGCAAAAGCAAACACCATTATCCTATTGAGGAGAACAAAGACGACCTACCAGAGAACAGAGAAGACACAACCTAAGCCTCCCAATATTCCTGGTGATTAAGGTCAATCAAATATAAGCACACCATTCAAAATTACAAAACATATAAGGAATTAAGCCACCATAAATAAGTCAATAGAACTAATAAATAGCATCATTGTTCTTCAGGAACTTCAGATACTGGCATTATCACACACAGAACATAAAATAACATTTGAACAGTTTAAAGTAAAGCAAGAGCTGAAAACACAAGCAAGGAAAAAAGATCATAAAAACTGACCAGCCTGGGCCAGGTACAGTGGCTCATACCTGTAATCCCAGCACTTTGGGAGGCTAAGGCAGGTGGATCTCTTGAGGCCAGGAGTTTGAGACCAGCCTGACCAACATGGTGAAACCGTGTCTCTGCTAAAAATACAAAAAGTATCTGGGTGTGGTGGCATGTGCCTGCAACCCCAGCTACTTGAGAGGCTGAGGCACAAGAATCATTTGTACCCAGAAGGCAGAGGTTGCAGTGAGCCGAGATGGTGCCACTGGACTAGTAAGAATTACAAATTCTCCAGAGACACATGGCATTTTAAATGAAGTACAATAATAATTAAAAGGTATTAGAATGAAGTAGAAAAGAAACTGACTATGGGTATGTATACCTACATTACACTTGATCCTAGCCAAGACTGAGAAGTGATATATATATATATACACACAGATATGTGAAAATTCAGTCTGCTGTGTTTCAAATCAGTGGGAAAAAAATGAATTAGTCAATAATGGTATTGTGCCATCTTATCAGATATATTATACAAAATATTATTTATTTTACACCACAGATTACATTAAGATACAGGCTTAAAATTAGAAGCAGCAGCAGCAGCAGCAGCAGCAGCAGAAGAAGAAGAAAAAGAAGAAACAATCTATAAGTGATAAATGTACAACAGGAAAATTTAGATAATTTTTAAAAATCACCTTGGAACAAGGAAGATCTTTCTAACCACATCATAAAGGAAAAGACTGGTTTAGACTTAACAATATAAAAACAATATGAGATCAGACTTGCCATTTTAATACCTTTTTTCTCCTCTTCTCTTGAAAGCTATCTCAAACAACAAAGAAATAAGAAACACAAATTCTATCTTTGATAATATTAAGAGATTTGTAACCCCAAAACAAAATTAATGAAGACAGCTAGCAGATGGAGTGTCTGTTACACCTAAATGGTTGTGCCAGGAGACACCAACGAAAAGCAAGGCAAATTACCCTGTGGAATTCTGAAATGGCTCATAATTGGAGATAGTAAGTACCCAGAAGTGCAGGAAGGAAAGAAAATAAGAGAACTCTAAAATACCGAACAAACCACAATTGAACTTCCAGTTTTCCTTCCCCTGTTGCACAGTCAGGTATCCACTATACCTGTACCACCATAGGAGACAGGATTGGTCTTTGGAAATATTGAATCAGAAATGTTCCAGACTCAGGGAACAGCACAGAGAAGGACAGGAGTCTGGAAACATGGATTAAGGCCAGGCACTGTGGTTCACACCTATAATCCCAGCATCTTGGGGAGACCTAGGTAGCAGGATTGCTTGAGCCCAGGAGTTTCAGACCAGCTTGAGTAAGATAGTGAGACCTCATCTTGACAAAAAAATAAAAAATCAGCTGGGGATAGTGGCATGCGTCTGTAGTCCTAGCTATTTGGGAGACTGAGATGAAAGGATCACTTGTGCTGGGGAGGTCAAGCCTGCAATGAGTTGTGATTGTACCACTGTACTTTAACCTAGATGACAGAGTGAGACTCCATCTAAAAAAAAAAAAAGTAAAATAAAAATATGAATTAAGTGAAAGTCTGCATAGCAAAATATTACCTTATCCACTTCCCAAATGCCTACACCCAGCTTATAGTTCCCTGAGACAATATCTACAAATATTAACATCTGCGGGTCCCTAATTTAAAAAATAACCAGCTATTCTGATTATGCTACAGTTTAGCACAAGAACTGAGACGCCCACTCATATATACAGTCTGATCTAACAGTTTTGTAATAACTCACTCTCATATGATATAAAATCAAATACTTAAGCTTTCACTGAAAAAAGGAAAACACAAAATAATATAGAAAATACTGACAACATAAGAAAACTTTTTCAAAAGTACTACATAGACTACTTTAGAGTGATAAGATATAGCAGCCATGGAATAGAGAATAAAAATTCCAGAAATTAAAAATTATAGCTGAAATAAAAGGGTTGAAAAAAATCAAGCTCTCTCTCAGAAAAAGGCCGAGACAAAGATGGATAATAAAAAAAATGAAAAGAATCAGATTGGCACTAGACTTCTCAAAAGTAACATTGGAAGCCAGTGGATAAATTCTAACTGAAAATGATTTTCAGCATAACTCTATGTTCAGTTTAACTTTTTCTTTTTTCAAGAGACAGGGTCTCACTCTGTTGCCCAGGATGGAATAGTGTAGTGGCAGTATCAGAGCTCACTGTAACTCAAACTCCTGGGCTCAAGCAATCCTCCTACCTCAGCCTCTGGAATAGTTAGGACCACAGGTACATGCCACCATGCCCAGCTAGTTTTTTTTTTTTTTTTGTAGAGTTGGAATCTATGTTGCCTAGGTGAATCTCAAACACCTGACCTCAAGCAATCTTCCTGCCTTGACCTCCCAAAGTGTTGTGATGAGAGGTGTGGGCTAGTGTGTCCAGCCTCCTTCAATATTTTACAGTAAAATAAACATGAAATTTGTCAAGTCTCCAAATATTCACTGATTATATTCTCTATTAGGAACTTTTTAGAGGATATGTTGCGTCAAACAAAAAGAATTAAGATAGAGGAAAGCCAGGATCCAAGAAGACAACAGATCTAACAGAAGAGGAGTGAAAAGGCTTCCCAGGATTGTGGAGAAGGAAGCCCTAGGACAGGAACTGTGCCTCAGGCCTAGAGAGCAAACAGTTCATATTGGAATAGGCAAAAGGAAGGTTCTACAAGACAGGTTTCCAAGACAGACTGTTTAATTATATAGACAATTTTAAACAACAGATTGTTTTAATTGTATAGACAATTTTATTAAGTGGCATTTTACAAAGGTATGGAGGGGTTGAGACTTAGCCAGCAAGTCAAAAAAAAAAAAAAAAAAAAAAAAATCAAAGCAAATGAAACAATGTGGCAAGTTTTAGTTCTGGGTCAAAAAAGAAAGATAAAATACTGTTTAAGAAAGAAAATGTGGAGAGCTGAGTTCCTCCTGGGTTTCTCCCTGCAGCTTCTGGGTTGTTGATGTTTGGACTCTTGTAAGATGGCTTGTGCTGCCCCACGGTCCCTGGCCAACCAGGACAGGTTTATTTGTATCTATCCTGCTTATTTAAATAATAAGAAGACCATCACAGAGGGAAGGCAAATCCCCATAAGTAAGGCTATTGAAAATTCTACAGCTACAGAGATTCAAGATGTATGTTCAGCAGTCGGACTTAATGTATTTCTTGAGAAAAATAAAATGTACTCCAGAGAATGGAATTGTGATGTCCCAAACAGAGGCACAGTCTGGGTCCAGCTCTAACAACATGGCAGCCTTTGCCTTGTACAGTTCCCATCACATTATACACTAAGCCTAACTTCTGGTTCCTAGGTAAGTCAGTGCTGTTGTATGCAGCAGAAATGATACCTAAACTAAAAACAAGGACACAAAAAACAGGAGGTGGTGACCAAAGTCTTCAACAAGGAGCAGGAAGTAAAAAAGGGAAAGAAAAGAAAAAGAAGCAACCTAGGATCAGCATCAAGTATGTGGTACTACTTAGGAGACATGAATGGAGGCTTCTAATTTGTATCAGAGGAAAACAGAAGCTTTATGTTTGCATCATTGAACTGAACTGTCAACACTTGTGCCTCTCATCTTTATCATCGAAGTAGACAGTGAAACAAATTTACATCAGAAGTCTGCATCTCGCTTTTATGCAGTATAAAAGACTTTGTCTTTCAATGCAGTTTTTTTTTTGGAAGAAAGAATATTTTTAAATGGAGAATGGACTGTACAATAAGTTACTTGAAATAAGTTACTTGTTTCAGATAAATTTCAATTAGATTTGAAATAAACATTTGGTACATGTTTTAAGTTAATGAAATAAAATTTGAAACTGAGAAGAAAAATGAAAAAGTGATCAGAGTACACTACCTGGCTAAGCAAAATAAAAGGGAAACACTAGAAACAAAGTACATGAAAGTTATTGTATATGAGTAGAAAAAGCATAAGTAATTTGTACCTTCTATCAAATATACCCCTATAAAAAAAGGGCTGAGGTCAAGTGCCTTCCAGGCATACAGTTCAGAAACCCAAGAGATTAACTTCTAGAAGAGCAAAATCTTGAATGCTTAAAACCAAACCCATGAGAAACTGGCTACATGATCAGGTTACAAATAGATATTAAGGCAACTTACTTATCACCATCTTAAGGCATTCAGGATTGTCTTGAATAAGTGGTTCAGCTTGTACCGTTTTACTTAAGAAATTCTTTGATATAAGAGGAAACCTGACTTTAGCAAGGATATCAACCATAAATGGCTGGCGATTAGGTTCATCATATTTCAACCACCTGACTGCAGCATCATAAACCTAAGGGGGAAAAACAGCACAGTAAAGTTCTTAGAAGACAGCAACATTTCCAATTACCCATGTTTACTCTCACACTGAAGGGAGAGGACCTCATAAGGAGACAACCACTTATTCCCAATATTTTTCACCCCTGGATGCTTGCCAGCACTTTAGAACAGTTTACATACTGCTCTAGTAAGTCTTGCAGGTAACATGTTTTTTAGAACTAACTATATTATGTAATGTAATGACAGGGAAGATGTTATATTTATGATTAAAAAAAGATAGCTTCCCTTTCAGACAAAGACATGATATACATTGCAGTGAAAAACAAACAACTATCAGTCATTAAAAGTTTCAACATACAACACTCATTTAGTTTAGGACCAGGAAAACAGGTTAATTTCTCAAGAGGTCATCCATTCCAGCAGATATGAAGGTCACCCATGATTTTATTTCAATATTATATTCCTGCATTATGAATTGATAGACTTATCTACCTTTAGAAACTTTAAAATATAAATAATTCAATACTTAAAAATTACAGGATATTTAAAAGAATTGTTTTCCAAAATAATACTGCAGTTTCATTTAACTGCACTGAACAAGTCCAAGTTCATCAACATAATTTAACTTACAAATCATCAAACACCCCCCAAAATCAATACTTCATATACACACACATCTCCCATACACAATTAATTTTGGGGTGATGTTTGAACTAAATTAATTTTGGGGTGATATTAATAAGACCCAACTTCTAATCTCTTTCTGAGTTAATTTTTTATGGGAATTAATCTTTTTTTTTTTTCGAGACAGAGTCTTGCACTGTCATCCAGGTTGTAGTGCAGTGGCATGATCTCGGCTCTCTGCAAGCTCCGCCTCCTGGGTTCAAGCAATTCTACTGCCTCGGCCTCCAGAGTAGTGGGGACTACAGGCTTGTGCCACCAAGCCCAGCTGATTTTTTTGTATTTTTAGTAGAGACGGGGTTTCACCATGTTAGCCAGGATGGTCTCCATCTCCTGACCTCGTGATCTGCCCGCCTCGGCCTCCCAAAGTGCTGGGATTACAGGCGTGAGCCACTGTGCCTGGCCGGGAATTAATCTTTTTTTTTTTTAAACAATTTTTTTGTTTTAGAATAGTTTTAGATTCATAGAAAAGTTGCAGAGATAGATAGCACAAAGAGTTCCCATATACCCTGCAATAGTTCTTAAGATGTTGCATTAGTATGGTATATTTGTCACAACTAATGAACCAATAATGGATACATTTAACTAAATTTCATATTTTGGGGGGGATTTCTTTAGTTTTTATCTGGTGTTATTTTTCTGTTCCACAATAACATAAAGGACAAATTACATGTAGTCATTAAACCTTAGAATCTTCTAGATCGTGACAGTTTTTCCACCTTTCTTTGTTTCTGACAACCTTGACAGTTTTGAGTTCTGGTCAGGTATTTTGTTGAGAATGTCCTTCAAGCTGGGTTTGTCTGATGTGTTACTTACTGGACTGAGGTTGTGGTTTTTTAGGAGGACAATCAGAGAGGTGAATGCCATTTTCATTACATCAAATGTGCATATTATTAACATGATGCTAACATATTATTAACATCATCACAGATGATGCTAATGCTGACCACCTGTAGGTAGTGTTTATCATATCTCTCCAGTGTAAAGTCATCTGTTATTCCTTTTCCATATTATATATAAGTCAACTAATTTTGATCATAGAAGGAAATCTAGTTGAGGCCCTCCAGGTCCAATCTGTCAACTTGCAAATGGGCAAAAGAATATTACTAAGTGCAAATTTTTGTTTTTAGAACAAAAGTAACCTAAAACATATGATCTTATAGTACCTATATTAGTTTTCTGTTGCTGCTATTAACAAATTGCCACCAACTTAGTGGCTTAAAATACAGAGAAGGATGTGGGGCTGAAAATAGAGATTAAGTGAGTCTACATAGTAAAGTATTCCCACAGCCAGTCGAGGTGGCTCATGCCTGTAATCCCAGCACTTTGGGAGGCCAAGGTGGGCAGGTCACCTGAGGTCAGAAGTTCAAGAGGAGTCTGGCCAACATGGTGAAACCCCATCTCAATTAGCCGGGCATAGTGGCACATGCATGCAATCCCAGCTACTTGGGAGGCTGAGGCATGAGAATCGCTCGAACTCAGGAGGTGGAAGTTAAAGTGAGCCAAGATCACACCACTGCACTCTAGCCTGGGCAACAGAGCAAGACTCTGACTCTAAATAAACAAATAAATAAAGTGTCCCCCCCACCCAGCTCCCACCTGACTGTACCCAGCTTACACTTCTGACAGTTTATCTGACAATTCTATAGGTCAGAGTCCAAAATAAGTCTCAGTGGACTAAACCAACATGTCTGCCTGGAGACTCTATAGGGAAATCATTTCCTTGCCTTTTCCAGCATCTAGCAGCTGCCTGCATTCCTTGGCTTATGGTCTCCTACCACCTTCAAAGACAGCAATGGCTAGTCAAGTCTTTCTCGCATTGCACCACTTAATGCTGCCCTTTTTTGCATCCCTGTTCCAAATGTAAAGCTCTTTATGATTACACTGGACCTATTTGGATAATCTCATCTCAAAATCCTTAACTCAGTCACATATGCAAAGTCCTATCTGCCACATAGGTTAATATATTCCAGACACTGGATATTGGGAAGTGGACATCTTTGGGGATGGTATTGTTGTGCCTACCATGGTACCCAATGGTTTCATCTCTATGAAGTGGCCTCTTTCTCAAAGAGCCAGGCTGGCAAGCATCTAAGATTGCAATACTCATTGTTTAGTGAAACATATTCTTTCCTAATAGACTCTTTCCCTTTTCATGTGTCCAAACATGAGTTATAAAATCAATAAAGTCATTTTCATGAAGAAAAATGTAAGAAGGTATTTTAGTCACCTGATCCTCTGCTCTCACAGTCAGAGTGTCCTGGTTGAGAAGATGTGTTACTCGCTTGACATCAAGTTGAAGAAATTCATCAGTTTTGTAAACTTCAGTAAAATGCTGATGAATAAAGTCATCTGCAGTTGCTTTCAATTCAGGACAATCTAGACATTCCGCTAGCACACTTATACCTAAACACAGAAAAAAAGTTAAATAATACAAAATGATTTTTAGAAAAACCAAGTATACATTCAAGATGAGGCATGACTTCAGGAAAATTAGTTGAATGAATTTCATAAATCTGGATCCTTTTCTGTTTTATTGATTTGTCTATTCTTGTGCCAATACTATACTGTCTTATAAAAGAACTGGTTTTTATATTCTGTAGGAGAAGCCCCCCCTCAATGTTTTTTCAAACTTTTCTTGGCTACTGTTAAACATTTCCTTTTGCAGACAAATTTTAAAATAAGCTTATCACAGTCTACTTTACAAAAATCTTGATGTGATATTAATCAGAACTGCACTGAATTTTTGGATTACTCTGGGACAACTTCTGCAGCATGGAGGAGCTCTACATAAAAACATGACATGCATCAAATTTATTGATACACTTTTATATCAGAAGTCTGAAAAGTACTGTTCATGGGGAAAATCTAGCCCATAGCCTGTTTTGTAGGGTCAACAGCTAAGAATAGCTTTCACATTTTTTTTAAAGGCTGCTAAAAAAGAAAAAAGGAGGAGGGAAGGAGAAAGTGAAGACGGAAAGGAAAGGAGAGATAAGGACCACATGTGGCCCATAAAGCCTAAAATATTTACTTTTCTGTCCTTTACAGAAAAAGTCTGCTCCTTTTTCTATACAAAACTATGAATTATTTTTGTATGTGATCTTGCAGCAGGCATCCTTAATCATATTGACTTTTAAAAATTCATTATCTGTTTTTCCATGTTTCAGTTTCACAATTGTCTTCATTTAATGAATTTTGATGTTTTCACATTTGTACCATAAAGGTTCTCAAAGCTAATGCTTGCTACCAACTTAAATTAGCTGGCATTTTCCACCTCCTTTGTAAAATGTACTAATCAACGCCATGACATGCTTGATGATCATGGTGAAAAGTTGGCTTTATCTGTATACTTGTAATATTTTTAACCAGTAGTATTCCTATTTTAAGGATTACTATTTTCATTTATTTAAACAACAGAAATGGGTATTGAAATCACAAAGGTGCCTTCAGCATCTGTTGCTATAATTTTATGTACTAATTTTTCTCCTACAGCTTGTTAGCATAGTAAATTATGTTACTAGATTCCTTGACATTGAAATGATTGAACCAGTGTGTCATTTTAAAAGTAAATCCTAGCTGGTCACAAAGTATTAGTATTTTTTAAATTAATAAACTTCATTTTTTCAGAGCAGTTTTAGGTTTATAGCAAAACTGAAGAACATTACAGAGTTCCTATGTCCCTGTTGTTACCACACATGCATAACCTTTCCCAATATCACCATTCTACAAAAGAGGCATATTCTTGACTTTTTTTTTGGATTAATAAATCAATGTATTTAAATGAAACTAAAGTTTCATTTGTGTTTGTAAACATACATGTATACACATGCACACACTTTCTTCATCCAATGTTGGCATTATGGTAACCCTACCCCAGTAGAATGAGCTGGCAAGTTTTCTACCCTTTCTAGAGATTTAGAACAATTTAAATAACATAAGCATTAATCTATTCTTTGAAAGCTTGGTAGAATTAACCCATAAAGTCTTCAAAAATCTGGAGCACTAATTAGAAATACACCTTTATGGTGGCTCATGCCTGTAATCCCAGCACTTTGGGAGGCCAAGGCAGTCTTGAACTTGGATCAATTGTGGTCAGGAGTTCTTCAAGACCAGCCTGGCCAACATGGTAAAACCCCTTCTCTACTAAAAATACAAAAATCAGCTGAGTGTGGTGTCATACACCTATAATCCCAGCTACTCAGGAGGCTGAGTCAGGAGGATTGCTTGAACTTGGGAGACAGAGGTTGCAGTGAGCTGAGATGGGGCCACTGCACTCCAGCCTGAGTGACAAAGTGAGACTCTGTCTCAAAAAGAAAAAACAAATGCATCTTTACTTTTTTGATTTTTTCTGAGGTTACTGGCTTCAGGTTTTATACTTTTTTTTTTTTGGAGATGGAGTCTCACTCTGTCACCCAGGATTAAGTGCAGTGGTATAAACTCAGCTCACTGCAACTTCTGCCTCCCAGGTTCAAGTGGTCCTCCTGCCTCAGCCTCCTGAGTAGTTGGGATTACAGGCATCCACCAGCATGCCTGGCTAATTTTTGTATTTTTGGTAGAGACGGGGTTTCATCATGTTGGCCAGGCTGGTTTCGAACTCCTAACCTCAAGTGATCCACCCACCTCGGTCTCCCAAACTGCTGGGATTACAGGCATGAGCCACTGCACCTGGCCAGATTTTATGCTTCTTAAGACAATTTTGGGCCAAGCACGATGGCTCATGGCTATAATCCCAGCATGTCAGGAGGCCGAGGCGGGCGGCTCACTTGAGTTGGGGAGTTCAAGACCAGCCTGGCCATCATGGTGAAACCCTGTCTCTACCAAAAATATAAAAATTAGCTGGGTGTTCTGGTAGATGCCTGTAATCCCAGCTGCTCAGGAGGCTGAGGCAGGAGGACCGCTTGAACCTGGGAGGTGGAGACTGTAGTGAGACAAGATCACACCACTGCACTCCAGCCTGGGTGACAGTGAGACTGTCAAAAAAAAAAAAAAGATAATTTTGGTCACTGTCTTTTGCCTTCTTATCTATAGTTCTAATTCTTGATGCTGTTCTTTGATCTTGTCTTCTTGATAAGACTTGTTAAGTCTGGGGCTATTTTATACCATTCTTTGAAATACATAGCTTTGGTTTTTCTAAATCTACAGTCTAATAGTTTTATTTATCTACTTTATTGACTTATATTTTAATTTATTTTTCTTTTCTTCTTTTTGAGATGAATTCTCACTTTGTCACTTAGGCTGGAGTGCAGTGGTGCAAACTCAACTCTCTGCAGCCTCCACCTCTGGAGTTCAAGTGATTCTCCTGCCTCAGCCTCCTGTGTAGCTGGGATTACAGGCACATGCCACCATTCCCAGTTAATTTTTTTATTTTTAGTAGAAATGAGGTTTCATCATGTTGGAGAGGCTGTTCTCCAACTCCTGACCTCTGGTGATCTGCCCACCTTGGCCTCCCAAAGTGCTGGGATTACAGGCGTGAGCCACTGCACCTGGCCTAATTTATATTTTAAATAATATTTTCTTCTACTTTTATTAGGTGTTTATAAATTATTTTTCTCTACCTCTCTGAGCAGAATATGTAAGTCAATAAAGAATAAAAATAAATACATTTATTTGGAAAAAAATTTAAGACTATAAATTTTCTTCTAAGAAATGCTTTGGTTATAATCCAAAGATTTCAGTTTATTGTGTGCTTACTGCCATGTTTCTATATAGCTTCTAAGTTTATTTTTAATACCACTTTAAAAAATAATTTTCTAAATAATTCTTGGTTAAATTTCCAAGTGTTCAGAATAGGTTGAGAGAGAACAGCTATCCTTCCATAGTTAATTTCTAGTTTTACTGCACTGTAATCAGGGGATGTGGCCTGTGTCTCCTCTTTTTTAGATGCTCCAGCTATTCTGTGGCTGATCAGTACTTGTAAATACTCCAAGGGTATCTGAAAACAATCTGTGTTCTCTGATCACTAGGTAAAACATTCTGTGATATCTAGCTAAATACGTCTGTGTTGTTCAAATCCCTACTTTTTAAAAAATCTGATTTGAGATTTTGGGCAATGCTATGAGTTATTCACTGGCCATTCCATAAATTCCCTTTCTGTGTGAACCAGCAAAATGTGGTTTATATTGCTTGCAAATATAAAACCTAACCAGTACATCCTTATCTTGAGCTCTTTACCTCTCACTTAGCTAGCTTCAGTACTTCTTCCAATACTTTTCTCAGAAGGGACATGTGATTATTTCCTTGCAATATCCAAAAGAATGATGCCTTGAAAATCAATTTTCTCTATCTCTCATTTGCAAACCTCATTATATTATCTTCTAATTATGTGTTGCTGAAAAAAATTAATGCCATTCTGATTCTCCTTCTCTAAGTAACTTGTTATAGATAACAGCTGGAATAGTTATCTCTGCCATATGGTCTCTAGCTCTCTCTTCATGGTAGCAGAAGAGTTCCCAGCAACAATAATAGAGAGCAAGTTTCAAAGCACAAACATTTTTCTATTCTCTGCTAACATCACATTTGCTAATGTCCCACAGGCTGTAGCAAGTCACATGGCCACATACAGATTATAAGGAAGGAAAACAGACTGTACCTCTTAATGGGAGGAGCTACCAAGTCACACTGCAAAAGGGTGTACATTTATGGATAGAAATAATTTATGGTTATTTTTGGTAATATACTATACTGCTTCTCTTTGAAAGTCTGTAAATTCTTTTATATTGATGTTCTTTCTTTTTTCTTTTTTACTGTTTTAAGACCAACTTATTATTACACAGTCACTCATTCAGAAGCCAGTGAGACAACAAGGCAGCAGAAAGGAAGGTGGAATAGAGTGGGTCCTGTGAAGGACCAAAGACAAATAGCCACAGTTATGAAATTTTGTTTTATTCTAATAAAGACTAATGTATGCCTGATAGCCTAGTGATAATACGTGTTTAGCAGGTTATAACATTTTTAGAAAGCATGTATCATTCAAAGAAGGGCATTATATAGCTGGAGACTTCAACATCCCAATTTCAGCACTGTAGAGATCTTTCAGACAGAAAATCAACAAAGAAACATCAGACTTAATCTGCACTATAGACCAAATGGATCTAACAGATATTTATAGAATATTTCATCCAAGAGCTATAGAATACACATCCTTTTCCTTAGCACATGGATCATTCTCAAGGATAAACCCTATCCTTGAGAATGAAATAAGTCATTAAATAAGTCTTAAAACATTTAAAAAACTTAAATAGTATCAAACATCTTCTCTGACCACAATGGAATGAAACTAGAAATTAATAACAAGATGAATTTTGGAAACTATACAAATACATGGAAATTAAATAATATGCTCCTGAATCACCAGTTGGTCAGTAAAGACATTAAAAAGAAAGCTTAAAAGTTTCTTGAAACAAATG